GAGAGAGAGAGAGAGAGAGAGAAAGAGATACTCAGCACGATCGGGGCTCTGGAATTGGCGAATTGTTTCGCCGGACACCTAGCATTACGACGGAATAATAATACGGGCACGATCTCGCCGGCCGCCGTTCTGTTGCTCGTCAGACCCTCTTCACGATATCGACGGAATGATTTTCTCCGTACGCTCCCTGCGCGTTTTATGCCACTCGCGCGGGCCACACACACGTCGCTGTTTTGCACGTGTGCTCAGGCGCGCGACCTCGTGTGCATTTCCGCAATGCGGCCGCTCGACCACTATCGCAACGAGCGAGACGGCACATCGCGCCGATCAGCGACATCTGAATATTTGGACGATACGTTCTACGAGGCGCAGGTCTAATTAGCAGTTTGAGAAAACTCACGGCGCTTCGGCTAGCTAGCTTTCATGCAGCTTCTTTGGATGCAGGGAAGAGTTGCCAAGATTATGCCAGATTTCTTAATTCGTGCCTGTTTTTTTAATGTTTGCAGCACGCATAACATAAGATATAATCTGAAAATGTTTTGTCTATATTTCTCATTGCTCATGTACTTCTCATGTTTTTATCATTAGATATCGCTCATATTCAATAATAACAAAGGAATTGATGAAGTACAATTTTGGAGACCGTTGCGATTTCGACAACTCTCCCCTATTCGATTTTATATTAAGGCTCCTGGGGAGTCGCATCATCCATCTCTTTTTAATGACGTCAGAAGCGAGAAAACGCATGCTAAAAATTCCTGCAAAATACGTCGAGATAAACAGATATATCCACAAAACGACATTTGCGATCGATTAAGTACACCTCTAAAATACTCCGTACACTTTCCATTTGTTCTAAAAATCAATAGATAATCGGAAAATTAATATGACAAGATAATGAGGAAATTAGGTTAGAAAAGACGATTGCACGTCACATTTATTTTATAATTATCTGTTGATTGTTAGAACAAAAGGAAAGTGTACGGAGTATTTTAGAGGTGTATTTAATCGATCGCAAATGTCGTTTTGTGGATATATCTGTTTATCTCGACGTATTTTGCAGGAATTTTTAGCATGCGTTTTCTCGCTTCTGAGCGAGAATTAAAAAGAGATTAAAAAGAGATGGATGATGCGACTCTCCAAGAGCCTTAACTTGTGATCGTGATGTTCGCAATAAACCAAAGTAGCGTTTTTGTACACATTTGCTACGTCCATATATTGTATAGTGTCGATGTGTTGTTACGCAGATGAAAAATTGAAGCCGCCGTGCGTGTTACCAGCGGCAGTGAAATCGCATTTCAGCTAATTATCGCATTGCTCTTTCCGCATTATCACGCGTGCGATTTGCGACGGTGCGCTATTCGGCGTTTAGGAAGGGAGGGAAAAAAGCGCAAGAGATCGTTCGACGATCGCGAGAGACACACCCGGTGTGTCGGGGCAATTAAAGCGCGTCGGCGCGTCGTTGCTGCAGCATGCACCCGCGATAATTGCTTCCGTGTACAATGTGTAAACCGCTTCCGGCCGCTCGCGCGGCTAAACCGCGCGTAATCTGTGCGCCGTGTAACGACGAATTTCACGAATTGCCCCGGCCACGTCGGCCAGATGTCGGCCGACCACCAGGCCACATATCGCTCTCCTCCCTTCCCCCCCCTCTCACTCTCTCTCGCTCTCTCTGTCGCTTACTCGTACGCGGAAATGCATCCGCGGGGTTGCAATTGGTCTCTGCATCTCCCGAAGGGCCCGGGCTCGCTGCGCGAGATAATTGGCGGTCTGTCGGAGGAGTCGGCCGACTTTATTCGACAAACGACTTAGTTGCAGCTCCGGCTATTAATCCGCTTGTAATAAATTGGTCGTACTCTTCATACGAAGAGAAATGATTCAGCAAAGAGAGAGAGAGAGAGAGCGCGCTCAGAATAACTCTTCAATGGCGAAAGAATCATTCGTTCGCTTATATAACTGAACGGGACAAAGAATGATTCAATACGTTTCTCGACTTGTGGAAGAGCTTTTCAGCATGACGTACAGAGATTCGCGAAAAGAAATTAACTCGATCTTCGTGCTCGGATTGCGAATTGCTCCGAGCACCACTGCCGTCGGACGGCTGGGTTGGTTAGTCGGTCGGTCGGTCGGCGAGTCGCGTGGCGGAAACTGTCGCCAAGATACTGCCAGATATCCTAATGAACTCGAGCTTCTCTAATTACTCGGCCTGCAATGCGCCCTACACGGCCCGCCGGAATTCCTCGAGTGAGACGATCGTCTTCGTGCATCCGCCGATCTCCCCGTGAACTCCGACGCGTCCTTCCGAGAGAACTCTTTCGTTCCTCGACGGGGTTTTGTCATCTCGCTCGACAAACTCGAAGAATCGACGTATGAATGCTTTGAAAAGTGTAATTACGAGCGAACACAACTTTGACACGTTCATTGTTACGTATGTGTGACTTCATTTCGCCGGTGTGTTTGGTTATCGCTTTATTAAGAAATATTTGCCGGAAAGAAACATATCATTGAAATATTGGAAAAACATAATTATATTTTTATATTTTAATTTATATAATTCTGTTGTAATTCTACTATTCTTTTTTTATTTAATTAAATAAAGAGATATTTAACAATTTATAATATATCAAGATATTATATTAAATTATAGTTATTACTGAAAATCATAGAGAGAGGATAATATAATTATGATTTGTTTCCTTTTTCATTTTCTTTATATTCTTATTTATTATCTTTTAATCTATCATTTACTCTCTTCTTTATTAATAAAACAACATTCCCTTTAGCAAAAAGAAAATACTAAATTTAAAAGAAACTAATTGTTAGAGTAAATTAGTCAAGAAATAGCAGACATCGAACCAGCAGTTTGTCATTGTAGTTGTCAATATATATAGTCTATAGACTATATATAATTTTATATAAAAATAAACTCAAGATTTATGTGCACAACAAGAGTGTTTGTATCTTTAGATACACGCAGTCTAAGCGGATTGTCGACTGTGTTCGCCGGCGGCGGGCGAAAGTTTTTCCGCGGCCGTCAAGATGTTAACGTTCAACATTATGCTCACCGGATATCGATATCCGCAATTAATTTCCGTAACGAAATCGCACAACGGCTGAAACGAGCTCGTGATCGTCGAGGGCGATCACGCAAAGTGACAACGAGGAAATACGCGATACCACGACGAATTACTCGCGATACGGTCGACGGAGAGCCGACACGACTGACGGGGAAGAAACAAGCCGAAGCGGGTTAAGAGAGTTGGACCCTTAATTGAGCGCTCGAGTTTCAGCGGCGAGTCACTCACTCAGTCTCTCTCTTTTTCTTCCTCTTTCTCTCTCCCTGGTATACCAATTACAACCGCGGTAACGATATTTACCATTGTCGGGGCGAACCGACGCGGCGCTCTCGCGCCTATCCGTGGCATTAGCGCGGCGCCGTAATAACACGGTTAATCCGACGATAATTTCTGTTCGCGGTAATCTTAATTGCCCGGAACACCGCGAATCCTCTCCCCCGTATCGCGTAGGCGGCAACGCGCGGCTACGCACCCGTCGTCGTTCTTTCCCTTCACCGTGAAATGGGGGTTAAATTGGGCCGGCAGGGGTGACCGCGGCCGAAAAGAGCGAGAAAGCAAGAGAGAGAGAGAAACAGAAGTCACGTTGGTGCCGAAAGAGTTCATCGGAAGTTGCGTTGGTCGAGATCGTTCGCGCGAAGAAAAATCGTCGCGCGCGCGCTTTGACGTGATTACAGGTCGATTAGAAATTTATCTGATAATCAGGTTGACCCCAATCAGTCATCTAGTTTATACAAGATGATGTTATCGCATCCTAATTGTTGAGAATCCTTATTATTAATAAGGTTTTGATCGTCACACCGTATTACATGACTTATTAGGCCAATAACATCACCATTCAACAAACCAGATAACTGATTAGGATCAACCCAATGAGGATCATGAGACCATGAGAAAATTACTATAAAATTCTCTCACGGAGGAAATTTTATAGTAATCTTCACGATAGTATTTTTCACTTTTCTAAATTACTATAGTAATTTTGACTAAGATTCTTTTCGTGTAAAAATTTATCCCATGGTTTCCATCAGGTTGATCCCAATCAAATATCTAGTTTATGTAGCAAAAATCTTTTCATCAGTTTTGTAAGCGTAAAAGAGATCAACACTGTGCAGCAATCAATTGTTCTTTCATTTCATGTGTTTCTTATATTTTGGTAACTAAAGTACTCTTTTAAATAAATTTGCTACGTTTCTAACGAAATGCATTGTGTTCCTTAGACCAAAATAAACTTCACTGACATTGTATATCCCTGCATTACTAGAAACATGTAGTAAAACTGAATAGAATTTGTGTGGAAGAAAGAAACTATAATGTTCTTTCCGTGTGGTCGAGAGGTTCATTAAGAATGTTGGAATTCTCTGTATCAAGGTACACGCACACGTGTACAGTCGTTTGCATAAAGGTAGTAATATTTCTTTTGGACGAGCTCATACAATACGATGATATTTACGCTTCTGCTCATACATTACTGTTGTACACCACGTATTTGAAAATTTGACAGCTCTCAAACCGCTCAATGCTTAAGCTCGTGTGCAGAGGTTCGTATGGCGGTATTCATAGTCCGATCTTATATTTAAGATTATCTTAAGTACTGTCTTAAGATGTCATGAACCAATTACAGAGCAGTATTCGCATCTTAAGACATTACTTAAGACGGTCTTTGAAATAAGATTCGACTATGAATTCCAGCCGTAGTCTCGTCGAATTCGCGTGTTCATAAACCTGCCCGGAAAAAAGTGTCACAAACTTTACGCAAACGACATCGTGTGCACGCACGTACACACGCGTCCATCCCTTGGATTTGGTCGCTGATGTAACCTGCATCGACTCGTCGCGATCGGCAAATTGACGATAACTCGCAGCCGTTTGACATCGCTTGACATCAAAATCAACCCGTCGACGTAATAAAACGATCGCCGACAATCAGGCCGATTACGCCAATGAACGTCCAATGCGGAACGCGCACGGTACGCTGCATCGGCGCGTTCCACCGATTTCTTTCCAATGAGACGCATTGACGACGATGACAACGACGATCGCGTCGTCGTCGGTCGTCGGCTCGACTTCTTGTACGCGTGCGACGAAGGCGCGATCATCAAAACAGAGAGCGAGCGAGCGAGAGAGAGAGAGAGAGAGAGAGAGAGAGAAAGAGAAAGAGAGATATTCAATGACGACGGCGATTCGCAACTTTGTGCGGGAGGCTCGCGCACTAACGCCTTTTCCGCGGTCTCGTTACGGATTATGTAAGCGCCATGCGTCGATCGACACGCCGATCGGCACGTGTTACACCGGTTATGCGTCCCGGAATGAGACAGCCAGTCGCGAGATTCTACGCGGCTAACAGGTGCGACGGTGACGTCGAGTGCGAGCGGACGATGGACTGCGAGCGTAGATAAAGGAGTCGCATCGTGGAAATACCAGAAGCCACATTGCAGATCGCCGATTAATTGCCTACACGGCGCACGTCGCGGAACGGTTTCGTGCGGGCTTAGAAATACGGACATAAACGAGGAAGGAAATTTAAATCCTCGATTAGCTTTTTGCTATCGTTGTTTTGCCACCGTAGATGTACGATGTCGTGTAAAGTGGCAAGATAAAATAAGTCGGCAAAGTGAAAAGGAACCCGCGCTCGAGACTTAACACGTTGACAGGCGCACACTTACGACATAAAAAACTTCTCTTGCCGTCTACACGCGAAGAGAATATATATTATAGTTATTTTTTCATGTAAATTTTATTTCCAACTTAAAAACTGAATATAATTATCAGGTTCTCAAAGGTACGATCAAACATAGGTAAAAATTTTATCTATGTTTTATTCTGTCCAATTTCACCATGTTTTCTAGTAGTGTACGAATAGACTGTCAATAGAGTTCATCTTCTGAAGGAACACAATAAACTTGTTCAAAAATAGTAGATACTTCACATACAGACATACGCATACACACACGTATCACATTATGTACTAAAATATGAAGATGACACGTATGAAACGTATGTAACGTAACGTAATAATAAATTAAGGCAAAAGTCTGGTCTGTTCCTTGATAACCAATCTTGGTTATAAGGTCCTATAACAGTTTTTATTACAAAATCTTCTGCGTGTAAGAAAATGAACATTCGCCTTATACATAAGTCCAAAAATCTATCTTCACCTACTCCCTATAATGTTAATAACAGACAATTATCATTGATAAATATTTCTTTACAAGACGATTACCCTTCGCGGAATGAAGTCACACATACATGACAGCAGCCGTCAAAACGTCAATTCACTCGGGAATACCGCGCGCGGTCGGTTACCTCACTATCGTACGCGGCGGCCGACCGATCATAACTTCGCTAGTTCCGAAAGAACCGATCGCGGAGATCGACTGGCGATTGATGTTGACACGGAGACTGGGATAACCCGAGCGCACGAAGTGCTCGTGGCGGACGCTTTCGTGGATGACGGGACTGAGCTATAATTAAAGCGGTGGCCGGGTCATTACGCCGTACCGGCGATAAATTACGACTTTTACGAGGCCCCGAGCAAGGCCGCGCGAATGCGCACCGGGTCCGAGGAGGAACCTCTTCCTCGCAGCAAGCCTCGCCGCGGTGCGAGGCGTCACGGTGCGTTCCGTCGAGGAATCGAAAATGACGACGGATGAGACGGGGGGTTGGGGGCCACCGCGGTGGCGGGCCCTTCACGCGCGCGGGACTTGCGAAAAACGTACGCGCGTTTACAGCCGTGAGGTACAAATTACGGAGGATCGTGACCGGCGTCGAGATCGTCGCCTGACAAGACGGGCTTCCTTCTTCTGCTTTCTCTCTCCCTCTCTTTTTCTCCCTTCCTCGCGTCCCTTCCTCTTGAGTAAAGGACTAACGGACACGGCGTGTAAGGCCCCTTGAATACCGAAAATACGTCGTGACATCGGATAATCGATAAGACGGAGTGTCGCCCGGACGCTCGCACGTCCCCGCGCGTAAATATTTTGATTAATGATCCCGTGAGGATCGTCCGGTCGGCTCTTGCTTCTCGAGTCCGGGACGCAACGGCCCGATTCCAAAACCGGATACCCCTTTCGTGTCCCCTTCTCGCGTCGGAGAGATCCACGTCTCGTCTGGTCTCTCTGTCCCTCTCTCTCTACTCCTTTCTATTCTCGTCCTCGTCCGACCAACGATCCGTCGGCCGTCTCATTCCCGCTGTGTGTGTTTGGTCCTGCCTGCGGTCGAACGCAAACACGTTCCGCCGAGGAGGCTTTCCGAGGATCACGTGGACGGGCACGCCGGCGTGGATCCTGGGAAAGAGTCCGTGCATTGTCCTGGCGTTGTCGGAAAAACTGGTCGTCACCAACTGACCGTGGATAATGCGGGCCCTTTCCTTCTTCGCCCGGCACCGTTCGCGTTAAATGTCCCGGCGTATTATCTCGCCGCTCGAAACAACGCCCAGGACGACCGGAGGCGTTAACGTCCAAGACCAGTCGGACTTGTCCCAGTTCGCGGCGTGCGACGCGTGCCGTTGTTCGATCTCGAGGAGGTCTCTCACCAGTTTTATTCGGGGCAAAACGTTCTCTCTGGCGCGCGGATCGCAAAGATCCGAGAGAGGATCCTCGCGACGAGGTATACTTGCCGCCAAGGGGTGTACCGTAAATCAAGGCGTCCGTTCATCGGCGATCCCCGAACAATCCGAACGATATGCCGTGCCCCCTTCGGACGGCTCCTCGGCCATCGCTCGAGATTAGGTTCTGGACCGACGGAGAAAGGGGCACAGAGGGCGATAGAGCGAAAGACAGAGAGAGAGAGAGAGAGAGAGAGAGAGAGAGAGAGAGAGATGAACATTAATCTGCCGATTACAGGAACTCGGGAACCTCCCATTCCAAGTAGCACGACTGGTACAAGATTCCCCGTCTTCGGTTATTGCGCAATAGTCGTTCGGGATTCGACCCTACCCGCCGTTTCCGCCGGGACTAACCCTCGGATCCTCCATCGATCGGCGACCTTGAAATTAGGATGACCGCCGAGTTAAAGAGTGATGACGGATATTTGTGGCTTGTCCGCGACGGATCGGCCGATCTCCGTCCTGAACCCTAACGTCTATTACCCTATTTCCTGCGAAGGCTGCCGACTCCGGCGACTGCGACCTCGCGAGAGGTCGGATCGACGTTTGTTCGGTCGTTACGTTATCTCGACATTGAGAACTCGTGACTGGACTCGATCGATCATACCGGCGCGCTCGTTGGACCCAATTAACTCGAAATTGTCTTCACTCTTTTTTTACTCGGAAATACATTGTACGTTTCGAGTACTGTATCAATAGGCGGGCTCTCTGAAGTCTTTCGAATGAGCGAGTGCGCGTAATGTTGATAATAGATACATAGTCCTTATTCTGAACTCTCTTCTATCGAGAAAAGGGTTTCTACATGTGCACCTTATAAGCTTCCTGATTGGTTTCCAATCATATTTCGAGACTCTTTCATCAGGAAAAGAAAGGACTTACGTCTTTAACGTGTAAACGAGAGCTTTTTGTAAATTGTTGAGCATATTTTAAGGATTAATATTATCCTATAATCTCTTACAGTTGAATCTTATTTTCTGAAACATGTCGCAAAGTAAAGTGTGTTCACCTCTTTATGATCCCGATTTTACAGGCTTCTAGTCGTGCTGTGAGTTTATCAATCGCGAATATAATGTTGGGCATTAATCAATTAAAATTTCAGTTGACCGAAATAATTGGCAAATCAATAATCAAGATCAATCAATTGTCATACATGTAATCACGAATAATTTAATCGATTGACGAGATTAATTATTTACCAAACTTTGGTTTGATTGATTGTATCCTGATTAATAATTAATTGCATCAGTACATTGAATTATTCGTGATTACATATATGATTGATTGATACGCGATTAATTTTTATTGTTGACTGAAATTTGATTAATTTAGTCAACTAAAGTTTTAATTGATCACTGCCCAGCATTGATTGGGAAATAGTTGAATCGTGACTGTAGAACCTCAATAGAATAGTTTGATCGTGAGTCAACAATGTTGGAAACAATGTCGAGTCACGAGTTGAGAGCGCGCGAGCAAAGTAACGACATGAACTAATACAAAAAAGTCACAAGCGAGAAGACAAGATGCTTTATCCAGGCTCAATTTCTTAAGTGTCACGTTTTCCTCTATTTTTTGCATTCGTTCAACCACTGATCCAGTAGTGTAACTAAAACAATAAGCAAATGTTGACAATAGACTCAACGGTGGAAATTTCGATTTTTACATTTTTAAGTTTGCAAATATCGTTGAACTTACGGGCCAATAAAGAATTTCAAGATATAGCGTTTATATAGACTATTGTAATCTTTTGGCGCTATAAATCGTAATTTATTGTCGTTTTCTCTACGTGGAGACTTAAGGAAGAATTTGTTGAGAGCGTTTAACCAAGTCGAAATTTTTATTCTACATTGACACCGTCGAATTTGGAAAGGAGGAATCTCTAGATGTACAAGCTATTGGTTTGTACGTTCGCAGATAATTGTTTACTATTTGTTTAGTATTTTCGCGATGCACTTTGGCGACGTATTTCGCCGAGGTGGTTTACCGATTAGCGTTTCTCAGTCGCGGTAGCGGCCTTCAACGCTCGTCCTTGCACCCCTCGCGCGAGGTCTCCGTCTTCGCCGGACAATGTCGTTCCCAGAGGATACAGTCGATTATATTTATTATTTGTTCTCGAAGAGAGAGCAGACACTCGCGCGTTGGGGGATTGTCGACGTTGCGAATGAAATCGTGACTCGGTCTCGCGGTGGGAATCGCAGTTAACGCGCGTGCGAACAATCGATAGATGACATATTGTTCGTAACAATCGCGTGCAGCGGGTATTAATCGAATAAAATAGTTGCTAACTAAGTATCGCTTCATCTCTTGCCTAGCTGTCGGAATTATCGTAGCTTCCATGCGCATATACATACACGCCCGCCATATTTTTATGTCAATTTCATACGAAAATTTCACTATTGCAATGCGATAGAAAGAATGAAGATAAAGAATTCATTTTTTTCTTCTGTGTTTAATTTAGAATTTATGAAAATTAGAGTTTATAAAAATTTTGATACGCCAATCCGTTAATATTAGCTTCGCTTCAGTGCCATCCAAAGAGAAAATTGATTACGCAACGATATGAAGTAAAAATTGAATATTAAATCCAATGATAAAAAAAATGAACAATAAGTACCAGCAATTCCCCCGTGGGACCGTGTTCGCGTTTCGGACAATTCGTCGTTATGCGACAGGTGAGTTCCACGTGCACGTACGTGTACAGCGAACGCGAAGGTTGCTCAAGAATGTCCACTGTTTCGATTATAGTAATCAGCCGCGGCGTGAGTAAACTGGTGTTTAAGAGACGGGGATACTATTTATTTGTCGTGTATTACACGTGTGACGTGTCCCGTACGAGTCACGTTACACCTCCGAGAGCACGGCAATTGCGCCAACAGAGTATTACACGTTTCGGCTTTTTCTTGCTTTATGACGCCAGTACGTCCCGCCCACACTCGTAAAACGAAACGTATCTCAACCATCCTATCTCCCTTCCTTTCTTTCTCTCTCCTCTTTCTCTCTACACTCCCTCGAATTCGGCATTTGCAAATACGCCGGTAAGTCGCGACGTTCTCTTTCTCTCTGTCTATCCTCTCGCTCTCTTCAGAGTGGAAATTCGATTCCGGCGACGCGCGGTCTGAGATACAACCGCGAAGGGCTTCTTCTCTTCCTCAGGGTCTCTCTTTCTCTTACTCCTTCGCTCTCCCTTGCGCCTCCGGCACACGAGTCTTACGCTTACTTACGGACTTACGGACTTACGTCTGAGACGCGCGGAAGGAAGAAGCCGGAGACGTCTCGCGGGCCCCGCGGGCTAATCGTTCTAACGAGATCACGCTATATTATTCCGACTCGGCTAATCTTTATTAATCTCGTTTTCACTCGAGGCGCGTGCGTCGCATTTCTCGGCGAGTCCGAATGTTTCGCGGAAGTGAGCGAGTGATAGTCCCCCCGTGGGTGCCCCTCGGCGTCTCAATTGGCGTGATCGCGGCAAACCGTGACGGTTTCCATCATACGAGCATAGTCCATCATACGAGCATAGGATACGACGTGTGAGGTAGACTGCAGCTCGTTACGGAAAGAGAGACTTTTTTTATCGCAAGTGAAAATACTAAGGTCGCCGTTTGGGGAAACTTCGTAAGCGATTTTTTAATTATGGTTGATTTACAATAGGCTTGTAGAAGTGGCGAGAAACCTGCATTATATTTCACGAGCACGCGAATATATAAAATATTTTTCAAATATGAAAATATATATTTTCTTGAAACCTTACTTTCTCATAGAAAAGCAATTGTTTATTCTTTTTGAGTAAGAAAAATTTAGATTTAAGAAAATATGTTTTAGTTGCATCCACACCCAAAAAATATTTAAAACATTTTTTTTTTAATGTTTTCTTTTAGTGTAAATAGCTTAACCTTATATATCTCATACGTACTCTTTCTAGAAATCTTTTTAAAAAATCACTTAAGAATTTTCAAAGATGACTTGATATTTTTGCGCTTTTAACTCATTATTTTAACACTAAAAAATTAATCTCTTCCTTCAATTGAAATGATAAATTGATGAATGATATGAAAAAGACGTGGGGAGGGAATACAAATGAGTACATTTAAAAAACGTAGGTGGTAACGGTCAAGGTTAATAATACGGATTAGTAATAATAATCAGGAATTCATTAATAATCCGATGACATCATCTTATACAAACCAGACAACTGACTGAGATAAATCTTATCTTATGTCAAGATCATGGGATAAATTTCTAGTCAGGGCACTGCAGGACGCGGTCGCGTTTTACGTATGGAGAAACGGAGCTAGCGTTCTGGAACACAAGGCGAGCCTGAATCACGGCGATTCGCGGCGACGTGCCGTTTGATCTCTCGCTAAGACGCCCGCTAAACACTGCCTTACACCGCCAACGTACCGCGAGAGTCGAACTTTCTAATCGGTAACCGCGCGCGCTGCTCGATATCGTCGAATAACGTTTCGTTGTCTTCTTTAGAGGAGAGAAAGAAAGAGAGAAAGAGAGAGAGAGAGAGAGAGGGGGGGGGAGGAAAAAGAATACTTCGACATGTACTCTCGATCATTACAATCTATACGGGGATCGAGGACATCGGTAAAAGCCACGGCAGTCGGCCAGGAAGATGCGCGAATAGAAATTCGTGGCTCTCCGACGAGCCGAGTTCCTCGCCGATCTCTACTCGTGAGCATCTCGTTACCTGGCACGACGATATGGAGATTTTATTCAGAAAATTACATTCTCTATAATGCGATTCGTTCCACTTCTTTCTTCCCGAATTAAAATCTATATGGGATTTCCAATCGTAGATTCATCTCGAAGGAAACTCACAATTGACTTTCACTCCACAAGCAGATTTAAAACTTTACATTAAAAATGTCAGATTTAAGAATGAGAGCGGAGTGTGTGTGTGTGTGTATATATTGATACTCTAACATCTAAATTAACTGATAACACAGAGTCATCTTATTCGAATCGGACGATTGTCGGATCTATTAGTCAGGAATTAGAAATTCGATGATAATCAGAAGGTTAGGAACTGATAAAATAACATCACAGGTATATACGACGCCGAATATCGGGCGGTACCGTCGGCATGTTAGCAAGAGAAAGAGAAAGAAAGAGAGAAAGAAAGGGGTATATCACGTCACTAGAGCGCGTCTTCGTCGGATCGCGACATCGCTCGTGGCGCGCGTTTTTGGCGCCCGTCATGCATTGCGCGGGCATCGTCGATCTTTTTGCGCCGAGCAGCCATTATGGACACATCGGGCGACATCGGTCCGCATTTTACGCGCCTTTTGTCCGTCGAAAGTGAGTCTCGCGCAGAGATAACTATTGGGAGTGCCGAAAACAGCGACGTGCGATCGTCGGGACGTCTCGTAAGTATATTATTAAAGAGTAATTTCCTCATTTCTCGACGTAATCGATGCTTGTCGCGACGTGCCGTGTTGGCGTCTCTTACACTCGTTGTTACCGCCGACTCAATCAAATAGACGCCAGAGATATACGTCGAATCTCGAATAGTAACATCGTTCTGTTAGCAACGAGTGAACGCATTCAGTCCCGCGGATGCCTTACATATTGTCATGACATATTATCATTACACATTTTCAAAGAATCGAATTATAAAGAGCGAAAGAGAGAGAAAGAGAGAGAGGAGCAAGGCGACCGGAGTTACGTTGCCCTCCGCTCGCATGCGCGCCGCACGTCGGGCAGGCTCTGCTTGTTCCTAAGAGCATGCACCGACGGCAAGGTCTTACATCGCCGGGACGTGGACACGGCGCGCGCGCGTGTGTGTGTGTGTGTGCGTGCGTGTGTACGCGCGCCGGGCATAGAATTACCAGGCGCGACTTACCCGGACGCATCCTCTGTGACCAATTATCCCGCTAACGAACCCTACGCGCTCGCGCGCGCGCGCGCGTGTATATTCTCGCACATCGCGCTATCTAGCCGCTGCCGCTTTGCCGGCCCCGACCGGGCTAATTAATTATAACAATGTCGTTAATTTTACGCGACCGAGTCGAAACGTTACTGACCGAATCGCACGCCGGCCTGCTCTTCCTACGCGGCGCACTTCCTTCCACCAGGTCGTTCGCTCTCGCTGTTGCAAACCGGAGTGTCGTAAAAAAAAAAAAAAGAAAAGAACGAGCGATCCGGAGAACTCGAGCGAAGTGACGGGATTAAAGCGCGAATAGCGCGCACAACGAGGGAGCGATCGATCGGTCGAATGAGAAAGAGAGAGGTGTCTTTGAATAATTTATCGTCTCTCTCTCTCTCTATCTTTCTCTGATATATAATTAAAAATAATGATTTTCTCATGTATTTAATATTCAGCTATGTCGACATAACTGGACTGTAACTCCGATGATTTATTGACGTTCGATCGGATTTTATAAGTTCCTCAGACGCAAATATCGTTTTTTCTCGCGCGGCGATATTCGTTTCTCTCTTATCGCGCGCGCGCGCACGTCGAGCCGGAAATGTTTGTTAATTCGCTCTATCATCTCTTCCCCCCCACCTCTCAAGGACAAATAATTAAGAACGTAGCATGCGAAACAAGATCGTAATGAAGGGAAGCTCGTGATGCAGCACTTATAACGTACGAGAACGTAGTCCGCAATCGTTATCCCTTGGCCTTAATACAGCGCTTACATATCTTACGGTCTTATTATTATAATTACTGTTATTATTCGCCACAAAGTCGCTCATTCCGAACCGTCGTGACTCACGTCTCGTTGGCTCGATGCTCGCCGAGAAGCATCGCGAAGTGATCGATCCCGCTAAACTTTCATCAACGATATCAGCACGACCGACGCCTCCCCCCTCTCTCTTTTTCTCCTCCCTTCGTCTCCCCTGTTTTTCTTTCACTAAAAAATATTTTAGAATAAATAGAATATAATGGATCTTTAACTCAAAGAAATATTTTGCCGGTCAAAGCGGAATTCTAAATGTCATAGTTAAAATTTATCGCTGTTTTTTCTATCTGTTAGAAGATTGTCTGCGGTAGAATTTAAAGCAGCAGCAACATTCTAGCAATATCTGCAAGCGAATTTAGGTAGATGTGAGGATTATACATTTGTTTGTCTCTCGTTGCGAGTCTTTTTTGTCTACTGCAGTCAATTTTTATAAAAAGTGTGACTAGAGTCTTAATCCGAATGGGCGGTACAGAAAGATCTTTTTGCTAAATCTCATAAATAGTTTTCAGAGATAACTTCTGTTTTTCTGTCATCTATATTTATTAGATGCATACAAAATATACGCGATATTATAACATTTGCTAATCATTTATCCATCTTAGCTAACCTATCGTATCCGGATAATTTTTCCTATGCCTGCAAGACTATCTCTTTTTTTATATTATCTGCCGATCAAGGACTAGGTTTTATTTGATCGTTATTTCCATGCTGTGTGAAGGAGACTCGAGAGGCAAAGAACGCTCGATCCCTTTTTTTCTTTTAGTACTATTCTTTCTTGCCGTTTGACAAGGAAAAATATTGAAAAATATGATCGGCTTTTGACGTCACAGTCGCGAATTATTACATAGCAAACGGGAAAATAACCCTATTATTTCAAATCAATTAAAAAATCCGGTTAAGAAATAATGAATCGTTTCCTCGTTCTCTATTTCCTTTTTTAAGAGTACAATGTGAGTATTGATAGGTAAAATTATATAATGTGACAGGAGCTGTTGTAATTCACGGCTGTAAAACATTACGGTTGCGGAAACAGATGGTAGACATATGAAAAAGGGCCACACCTATGCTCGTAAATATCTACGGATACTAAAGCCACGCGTGATATACTCGCTCTCACGATACACACACATATATATACAGGGTATTCCATTTTAAAATATCCACCCTCATAATTCTTCAACCAAGTATATTCAGCAAAAATATTTCAGACAAAAATTGTCGGGTTCAGAGGGGAACATCTGAAGGTGACTTTGACTTTAACCTTGGAGGTCATTCTGAAGGTTATTCGAAAGTCAACTTTGTTTTTTAAATAGAAACATTTATTTTTTCTTACGGAATTTTATTCTACGTAAAGAAACTAACAACTTTTGTTTAAAAAAATTTTTTATACGACCTCTATTTTCTAAGATATTTACGGAAATATCTACAAAATTATTGGTTTCAATAATTTTTTACTCGAATTCTATCAACTTTACCGAAAAATGGCAAGAGATAAAAATTGTTTATTTTCTTCTTATAGAGCTCCGAGAATTTTTTCAGAATTTTTTATAAACTTTTTACTTCAAGAAAATGCAGTACTAACTAAAAATTCTAAAAGTCAAGGTCATCTTCAGATGTCCCCCTCTGAACCCGACAACTTTTGTCTGAAACATTTTTACTGAATATATTTGGCTGAAGAATTATAAGGGTGGAAAAATGGGGTACCCTATATATACATATATATATATATATATATATATATATATATATATATATATATATATATATATATATATATATATATAT